AAAAAAAAAAAAAAAGGCGTTTTCACTGGCACTTATTATGTGAACTGGCTCATTAAGCTTTTTTCCTATTTTCTTTCAGAAACTAAAAAAAACCCCTAACATTTATAATCACAAAATCATACTAAATCATCATCAATCGCAGTGAATAGGAAATGCAAGGCCTGCAATTTAAAGACCAGTCAATACCTGAACTGGCAGGAAGGGACGGAGACCAGGGGGTCCCTTCGAAGAGGGAGTACAGTGATGTCTCCTGGGGGGCCAGCGAAGGATTAAGTTCTGTTTTGGAGCTGGCTGTCAGGTTCTTCCCATACACCTCATTGAACACACTGTTATTCGGGTATCTCTCCTGGAAGATAATGACAACCAAGTCATAAACTCACTCCAATGAAAGGGATTTAAGAAAATGTCATGTTCATGTTCTCGGATGCTTAAGCATCTTAAGTGTATTGAGCTTTTCTTAAGACAAATTTTGAAGGCTTTTATCTCAGTTTTTTCTGGTTTTCCTGTTAAATTCATTTTCCCCTAATTTGCTTTCCCTCAATCTATGTAAACCACCCAGGTTTAAAAGTATGAAAAGTTCACTTGGCTGGACAACAGAGCCCTAAGGATTTCTGTATTGAAAAGTTCAAGGGTTCAAACTTAAAACATACAAGTATCTCACATACCCAAATCAGAGGGACAGAGGATAAAACAAAATGTCTGGAAGACTCCAATACATGGAAGAGAAAGGAAGAGAAAAATAGGGGGACAAATAGAATGGGAAAGGATACACTAGCCTACTATAAAAGCACCATCTACCCACCTGATTGAGAGAAAATCCGGTGAGGGACAAGAAAGAGGAGGAATGGGACATGAGCTCCGAGGGCTTCTCCAACAAGGATTTCTTCACAGTCCCGGAAAAAAAAGGTAGTTAAATTATGCCTTCCATTTGCTTAATATTAATCTTAAGGTACTAAACAATCTAGCAGAAGACCACCATTTAAGCATACTTGTACATACCCATCATGTACAATGTAAGGCTTCAAAGATATGAACTCAATGTTAATACCACGACACCAGCTAAGTGCCAGGTGCCACAGGCCAAGTCAGACACAATGCTCCTGGATGAATACTTCTCATCTAGCACAGATACCCTGGCAGGGACCAGGGACCCTGCAAAATGCTAGCTCTGAGTGTTTATTAGCAGGAACCTTCGGGAATACACTTATCAAGAGTTACATTTAAAATACTCTCAAAACAAGATGCTGAGCTGATCTGGCAGTCCGTTCCCCCCCCACCCCATCCCCCAATTTTAAAACACTCACAGTAATGGCTTAAAGCCTTTCAAATCCATTTTGACAACTGAACTGGGATTGTCAACATGGTTCCTAAGCAGATCTATTTATGGTACATATTAAAATAGTTGCTAAAGTTGAATTTACATTTACTGGCCCTAAGAAAACTACCAGGAAAAAAACTTGAATCTCTAATGCTCACTGTCATTGAACAGTTGATCAACAAAGCATTTACTAAACACCTAGTACATGCAAGGCACTTTCACACACATTATATCATTAATGATGTTAAATACAGAAAGGATTACAGGTAAGGGTTTTTTTGTTTTTTTTTTTTTGTGAACATGAAAAAAAACACCAAACTCTAAAACACTACCCCTTCAGGCACACTTGTTCCACCATCAGCTCCACGTTGAGTGGAGGAGGGACAAGCAGAGTAGGAAGTAAGGGAGTAGAAAAGGACTGGAGAGAGAGGCACTGCCCCCTGGCCCTCAAGCCACACCAGCAGAGAAGCATCAAGAAAGGCAAACATACGGAGCCAACAGTTTCGCAGTTAGGCTTTCCACAACCCTGAGGTGCTGTCACCCTACTCGTAGTTGATGAAGTTTCTAGGGGATCTTTTATTTCTCTAACTTGGGGGGAAAAGTGGGAGGTCTCTCTGGCACTCACTCAGGCAAATTCTTACCGGAACTTCAAGTGCCAGGGATGGCAACTTCTGTTCTGAGAGCCATACAACTGTTTTTCTCCCAATACTAAAATTAATGTATTTTAATCTTATGAATGTTTTCTTGCCTCATAAAAAACAGCAAAAAAAGGTAAAGGTCAGAATTGTTTCATGTTTTGTTAAGATGGAGTAAAGGGGGGGGAAAACTTCCTAGCATATGCTTCTCATATTCCCCCACCTCAGCAAAATATAATGTAAATATTGACGACAATATAGAATGCCATCCTTTGAAATGCAGAGTGATTTCTAGAGGGCTATTTTTAAAAAGATACCACTAATCAATACTTGAGACTTTATTTCATACCATCCTAGTTATTCATCTCCGTATTCACACATCTATGGCACTCCAACAATGTTTATAAATAGAATTCTCTTCATTTTTACTCATTCTGTTTATGAATCTTGCTCTGAATTTAGATCAGGGCTCTCAGTTAACCAAACAGAAAAGAGCCACATACCATTCAATAATGTCACTAAAAAATCTAGAACATATTTCATTTCATATTTTGAGTGCATGAGGAAAAACCTCACTGCTCCTAAGCAGTATCACATGACCCTCGAAATTCCTGGGTTTAGATGGAAGTACCACCTAAACAGTAAGTTAATTTGCCAGCACTGCATCCTGTGTGACCAGCCCTGAAGGATGCTTCTGGGTAACACGTACAACAAAGCTGTGACTCTGAAATTTACAGCTATGGAGTCCGAGATGTTTTCCCATGTTCTACTGCTGTTTGAAGGTTAGTCTGGGCAGTAAGGAAACAAATGGTACAATTTGGTAAAAAAAAAGAAAAGCTCCAGAAAAAAAGAAACCATCTATTCCAAGGACTCCAAAATCTCAGGAAAGAAGCTGGGGTTAGAGCAAGGAGAATTAGGTCAAATACATACAAAGAGGCTCCGTCCAGGAAGAGAGGCGAGAGGCCCCAGCAAAGCTGGGTAAAGATCAGGAGGGTTAGAAAAAATCAGCTCTTCCTCTTCCTCCAAGGCAGCCAGACTCTTTAACAGGTCCGGAGGAAGCAGAGGGGAGCCCTTGGGGTCCTAGTGACAGAAAGGAGCACATGAGATGCAATAAGGGATGACAAAAGCACAAAGGAGTAGTCGCGTGATTAGGGGATGGAAGCAACTTAAGTCAAGATTTATAGCAGACAGTACTATGCAAGGAAGAAAAGGCTCTGAAATAAAAGTAAAGTGACACAAGGACAACGGTGCAAAAGATCAAGACAAAAGAAGCACAAACCACTGACAAACACGCATAAACAAGCATAAAAGGTTAACGAGACTTGTGAGTAAACCAACGAGGCGGGGCAAGGGGATTAGCCTATCTTGGGCTAACAGAGAAACAGCTCTTTCAAAAATTACATTCTCTCTTGAAAATTACAAACATACCTGTTTCTCATGAATTAAGAGAGAAAGGAAGGGGAACTCCACTATCAAAGATAACTGGCTGACTTTGTTCCTCTCAGAAAGCAATTTGTTTAAATACTCAGTAAACCTATTTTTAAACTTAGATGATTCAGCCCAACTGAGAGGAGCTTTGTTTCAGAATTCTCTAACATGCTGTGTTAGAGATTTCTGCACCATCTCTCTGCCAGACCATCACAGGTCCACAACAGTAACGGAATTCTTCCACTCCCCCAGATCAAATCACACTGTGCAATTGTGAGGGGGTGACCAAGAGCCACACCGGTTACTCAGCAGCTCCCTAGAGCACTCATGAATCAGAGCAGCCTTTATAAATGCCTACTTGAGAAAGTAAAAATATGCAGCCCCAGACCTAGTTCTGTTGTGTCTGGTGACAGGAAAGGACACATACCTCAAATGGCATCCTGGGCACAGGATCCTGCTCTGGACGGAAGACTCCTGGTGACCGTTTGCCCCTGCGGTCCATATTTGCTTGCTGGGCCATTACAGCTCTGTTATCAGCCATGCTGTAAGAAGAATCCCAGTAGAATTCTGGGACCTTGACTTCTGAGGGATTATGGTTATATGGCTCCATGGGAAAAGGCTTCATTTTTTTCTCTAGAGGCTGCTGCTGCATTACAGGAGGTTGCAATGACGGCTCAAACAGTTTTATAGGGTCTTGGGACTGAAGGTAGTAGGACTGCTTCACAGGCATGATTTTCCCTAATGGGCCTTGAACCTGAGGGGGATTCCACAGCTGTTTGGAGCCATCTGCCTGTTGATACTGAAAAAGAGATGCTCGTCATCAAGAGGATAAAATGCAATGTTACATTCAATACTCAGGACATCACAGAATGAACACGAGGGGTCTTACAACCAACAAAACTCAGCAGTCCTTTACCCTTTAGGTTTTTCAATACACAGAGCTTTCTGGGAACATATGTTGGGCACTGAACTCACGTTCTCTTTCAATTCAGTTACTCATGATGTTAATGAACAAATGAGTGTGCGTGTGCGTGTGCGTGTGTGTGTTTTCCCCCTTCCTGCCTCAAGCTGCCATTTTAAAGAATGGTATCCTATCCTTAACACCTCACCAAGATTACGACTCTATTTCCCTTCTGTAGTTTATGTTCAAATAGGAGAGAATTATTTACACAAAGTCCTTTTCTACAAAGCTGACAAGTAGCAGCAAAGAACGGTACTTAAGATCTAGTCTCCTTGACAAGAGAAAGGAAAACATTTGAACTTTCCTAAACAGCAAGAGGAATATTTTTGCATTTCCGTAATCCTTACACAGCAAAAACATCTGAAAGCTTGACCAGTATTTCTAATTAACCGAACACTGAATAACTTCAGTCTTCCCTCCTTATTTCAGCTGCACAGTACCCGCCACTCGAACTTACCTGCTGGAATCCGGAGTGGTGAGGAGGGCTTTTCCCCAAAGCCGGCACAGCTTTTGTGGGGGATTGTTGCTGAGCTAGAGCTTGAACCTGCAACTGGTTTGTAGACTGTGCTGTTGGCTGAGCTGGTAGAGATGTAAGGGGTTGCTGGGAAGGTGGCTGTGGTGGTTGAGGTCCCTGGTTCATTGGCCCTGGTCCAGAGGGCCGCTGCTGGCTGTAAGGAATGTGGGACTGTTTCCCAGCTTGCACCTGGTTTCCTGCTGGAGAGTGAGCTGTAGGCTGAAGAAAGGTTCCTGGGACAGAAACACCAGCTGGGAAGGTGTAACCTGAGCCCATAGAAAATGCCACAGGAGGGGGAATAACATATGTGGGGGGCGGGAACCCTTCAAAATAGAAGAACACAGCAGCTTTAGTTCTAAAGGCATTTAGCAAAAGAAACGCAAAAATAAGTCATCTGAAGGGGACATGAGGTAGGGTAGAGAAGAGGTCCTCTAATACGTTATACAAGAACAGGGATCCACCAGCAAGTGAGACTGATCAAACATCAATCTTTAACTTGACTTCAAGAATTAAATTAGAGTAGTGGGGGCTGCTACTTCTACCCACTGAGGCAACTGGAGTATTTTAAAGGTGGTCTCTTAAATGCTAGGTTTAGCGATGGGAATTCTTTCATGGTAACAAACATGCACTTGTAAATAAACTACAGAAATGGCTCAAAAATATCTTCATAAGCATTAGAGAAAGGAGAACTTCCTTCTACCTTTTAACATTATGGTTTAGTAATTCTAACTCCAGTAGAGTATGAATTACTCAATTAACGAGCAGAAACTCACACACAGATGAGATTAAGTAGAACAAAGTATAAAATGTATATTTACCTGGCCGGCTGGGAAGAGGAGGGAAGGCTCCAGGGTGATGAATGGGGATGAACTGGGAGTTACTTGCTTGACTTGGGGTTTGAGTTACAGGTGTTTTCCTGGCTTCAGACACTGGAGTCTTTCTTAGTTCTGTCTGGGATTTTACCTAGGACCAATAGAAGCAACATTATAATAATCTGAAATACAACTATATCAGAAAGAAGCACCCACTCTAAGAAAGTATTTAAAACCCACTATGTCCCAAAAAAAAAAAAAAGCCTATGAAGGTATTTAAATTCACCTAAGTTAAAAATGGGAAAAATCAAAATAGATTATTTGTCAATAAAAGATATAAGGGCTTAGTTTTACTAGTCTAATTATTTTCCTTTCACGAAATCATAAAAATACTAAACACGGAAAGGACCTGAGAACTCATTTGTTTACAAATGAGAAATGTCTTACCAACAGGTTAAAAATCTTGCCTATAATCTTAAGCCACCTATTATGGGCCCCAGGGACCTTTGTACTTGAATTCATTCAACAACATATATGAATTATGACTTAATAACGATGACTATTAACCCACAGGGGACATACTTTGGGCCTCAGTTTAATTTCTTCTGGGCGGCCTTAAGCACACCAGTCAGGCACCCACCCGCCACGTGGACACCCCTTCAGAACTACTTTCGGCAATAAGGAACAGTCCCCGAAGTCCTACCCAAGGAGCTACAGAGAATATGAGGTCCTATGCGTTGCTCAGAACGAGTAAAATGAAGGAAAACAGGTGACGTTCACGAAGACCTCCGGATGAGGTATGGACAGGGGTGATACACTGACTCCTGCCAGTTGCTTGAATCATCAGAAGCAGATTTAAGAGGGAAGAGGCCAGAAAGGAGGTTTCAGTCTGGCTCTTGCAGGGAGAGAGCCGCAGAGGAGGAGGCGGAGCAGGCACGAAATGCTGGATTCGTCCTTGCTCTCATCCCTGGTCTCAGCTCTGGTCCTCTGGCTTCATCGTTCATTGGTTTGCTCTACACTTTACCCCAGCGCCTCTCCCACCACATGCCTTTCCTCGATTTCTACCAGGTTTCTCTCTGTTTCTCCCTCTACTACTAATCTCAAAATACAACTATTACGTTATTTCTGTTTCCCAAAAAAACTCTAGAGGTGAAAGACACTGAAGGCACTATTAATTTGCAAGCAGCCTTCAGTAATATAAGGGTCCTCAGGCCTACTGCAAACAAATACATTTGCCAAAATGTGCTAACAAATCTAATGGCTACTTAGGTCTTTGTTCAAACATTAATGGTATTAATGAAACCATAGAGCAAAGACCTTTTGTTTGTATGTAGTAGTCTGTATCTCTTTAGAAAGGTTTAAGAAAAACAGAGTCACAAATAACTGAGCAGTGTTTACCTCTCCCCAGCAAGAGACTTAAATTCTTGCTTTATAAATTCCCATGAGTCAGCATAACACTGAAGTGACATAATGCTACTGGCTGGGACAAATATAAAGGACAAGAAAGAGAGCCTCATCTTTTCCCAAGAACATCTTTTATTTCTTAGTGAATTAAGGAGAAAAAAAAAAAAACTATAAGCCTTAATATATCCTTGGTTCTCCTGGATGTCTAAAAGACCCAAAATTTCCCCATATTAACATTAACAAATGGCAGTTACACTTTCCAAAGAAAATAGAATTCTTCATATAGTTAATAGGTCTGCAACTGGTCATTTCAAACCACTTAAATTGGAGAGGATTGACAAAAATGTCAAATCAAGTTGAGATTTTTTTCACTCACATTACAATTTCGAAGAGTTGATGGAGTAACCACCTACCATAGCTCTTACGTGACCTTACTATTTGGCATTCAAAGAATGCATTCACGCTTCCAGAAGAGCCAATTCTCAAGGCTTTAGGAACAAAATGAAAAATCTTGCCTTTTGTGTGAGTCTTCCTCTACCTGCGTAATAGTTCAAATACAGCTTACCTGCACTGCCACACTCTGCTTTCCTGTTTCCTGTAACTTTTCTAAGGTGCATTTCTTGGTTTCTGTTTTCCTCTTGTTGTTGTCCTTCTTTCCATCATTCTTAGTTACAGTAATTCCTTTGCTATAGTCCCTTCTCACCTCTTTGGGAGGAAAACTTCTTCCTTGCTCTCTGTTCACTTCTCGCGGCTTAATGTTCTCTTTGAAGGTGACCATTGGCTTCTCTCCTGGGTCACAGTTGTTGCTTAGATTTCGGCCCGTGGACAGCACTGATTTCAGTCCTGGGTTCCCATCCGCAGCCAGGGACTCTACCATGGATGGTTCTTGCAGAATGAGGTTCTCTTTGGCTTCACTGGGGTCTTCCAGTATTAACTCTGGGATTTCTGTGATAAACAACAATTTCCCTACCTCATTTTCACACTGAATCAGCCTAAAAAAGTAAAAATAAATCCATATATGAAAACCATAAACCTAAAAGCCACTAACACTGGAAATGCATAGGGCCCCAAGAGTCAGTACATCCCCAGTCCCAAAGACTTGGAGACAGTGGGGTGTCACAGTATAACTTATCTCTTTTTATGTAACATAAAAAGTAGTTTCAGAAAAATTTGGATTCTTAATATCACTTAGCATTCCCATAACATTCCCATGCCCTTTTTTTTTTTTAAAGATTTTATTTATTTATTTGACAGAGAGAGATCACAAGTAGGCAGAGAGGCAGGCAGAGAGAGAGGAAAGCAGGCTCCCCGCTGAGCAGAAAGCCCGATGCAGGGCTCGAACCCAGGACCTGGGATCATGACCTGAGCCGAAGGCAGCGGCCTAACCCACTGAGCCACCCAGGCGCCCCTCCCATGCCCTTTTAATGTATTCTGCTGATTACAGTTACATTTACTGAGCATGTCTTAAGTACGAAGCACTAGACTAGGCCCTTGCAGTGGCAATCTCTAATTCCTATTTTATAGGTGTAAAAACTAGAGTTCAAAAGGACTAAGTTCATTCAAACATGCAACCATTTAAGTGCTGCAATGTGATAGGAGCTTGAAGACAGTAATGAATATGAAACAGTTACTGACTTTGAAAAAGGTGATAATCAACTGGGAAGATCCCAAGGGCACACACTTAGGGAAGTGGCAGTACTAGAAACTCATTGGACTCTGAGCTGTCCTGACCGACACTGACCACCCTGCCCCCGTCAATACAAGCCACCTATGAACATACCAGTTGGTTACATTTACACAGATGTTTGTAAACTAGAGCAGAAGCTCACGATTCATGGGGGAGACAAAGCCTATTCCTCTACACAAGGCAGTCTGACGGGGAGAACAGAGATGAAATGGAATACACTCAGGATCACCAGGGTCAAATGTGATGTGTCACCAACGTTCCGACGTAAGAGTTTACGGTAGCATTAAACAGAGCCGGACACACATGCAGGGTGTGTAAGTGCATCTGGTAGGAAATACCTTGGCTGGTTATCGGCGATCCACTTGCCTATAGAGATCAAGCGCTGCTGCCGTATCTGTCGCTGCTGACCTTCTTTGTCTCCTGTAATACCCTGGTGGCCCTTAGAAAAATCCAAGTTCCTAAAATTGATATAAGCAAATTATACAAAATTAAACTTCTAAAGAGATTTCCCAGGCAACCAAGTTCACCCATTTAACTGCAATGGTTTCAGATTTTTCCACACAGACTAGCTACTTGATGTAATCCACTGCATTTGAATACAAGCTCCCAAGGACTTTATGGACAATGAAACAAAGCAAAAAAGGTAACATGCAAATTCATTACATTAACATACTTTTAATTTAGATTTTACTTTCTAAATGAGGAACTCAAACAAATCACAATCTTTTATTAGGAAAGATACTTTTACTTTGAAAGTTTTCATTAACACTTATGCTGCATTCTATGTCACCTGTGGGAAATGAACACTGCAAATGCTAGGGTTCCGAGAGCATGCCTATTCTAATAGACTGTTAATTATGCATTTAGGTGACCCTAAACCAGAAAAACGTATACGTATCATAGAGTATAACCTCATTGACATTTGGAAGGTAAATCAACCTGAAAAAAATAAGGATTTTTCAGATTTCTCTTCATTAAGTGCAGTAAGCACTGCCAGATAGTCGGCTAGATGCTGAATACACAAAGATAAATGAGAAACAGGAATCGTCTCTGTCATAAGGATGAAATAGGAGACTGTGAATCAATTTGATGAGTGTCACAATAAAAACTATGCAGAGAATAAGCACGGCAATAGGGGGGCTTCTTCCTTCTGATCAGCTCTGAAAAGCTTTCACAGCGTGTTACTGGAGTTGGACTTTGACAGGAATGGCAAGTGCATACAGGTAGGTAAGGGAAGGGCAGAGGAGGCAAATGGAGTGTTCTAGGCATAGCATAAACAAAGTCTTGTAGGAATAAAAACAGAATTACTCAAAAATAGGACACAGGGAATGTAGAGAATATTAGTATTAGGGGAAAGGAGGGTGGAGATGGCAGAAAATATGGCTGAAAAATCAAGCACTTGCACATGAAGCTAAAAAAGATACTGGAACCACTGGGGGTGAGTGAACTGAAGTCTTTGTATTAGTAATGGGACATTAACAGGTCTATATTTAAAATATAATTACAGAAGCATGCCAGAAATGACTTACAGAAGGAGAGGGACTCTTAGTAGGGAGGTTGAATAGGAAGATTTTTATACTCCAGGTTAATGGTGATAAAAGCCTGAACCAAAGGGAAATAAATGGGAGGAGCTGGATCTAAAAGGCATTTTAAACACAGAATCACAAAGACTTGGTGAGAAAGGTTAATGGAAATAAGGATTTTTTTTTAAGAGTTCACACAGGTGGATAATGGCACACAGATAAATACAGAAAGATCAATTTTTGCTGACCAGATAGGAAAAATAAGAGTTGTTTTGGGTCATATTAAACTTTGAAATGTATATGGGAGATCGGATTGTTAAAATAGAGGAGTCCAAACTCCAAAAAAAAGAACTGAAAATTTTGGACTTACTATCCAAGAGATGAAAGCTCAAGACAAAAGGATGGATCTGATCGCCATTGAGAAGGCAGAGGGTGGGGAGGGCAGGGCGGGAAGAAGTCTGGAGAATACTACTCTGAGGCATGTGGTACAGAAGAAAGCGAAAGAGATGGAATATGATGGTAGAGCTAAGAAAAAGGAGGCTTCATGAAGGAATGGGATCAAGAGACTCAATGCTAGAGAAAACTGAATAGGATGAAAATTATAAAGTCAGTGGAGTCTGGTAACCAGGAAGGCGCTATTAGTTTGTTGCAGGAGGCAGAGAAATGGCTGGGAGTGAAGTAGGGTCAGTAAGGTTAGCACACACTAACTATCCTTCTAAAAAGTCTGATGATGAAGACAAAGGGAAACATCAGAGAAAGATGGGGTGGTGAATTTTACTTTTTAAAAAAAGAACAAAGGTAGGGACGCCTGGGTGGCTCAGTCAAACAGCTGCCTTCGGCTCAGGTCATGATCCAGGGTCCTGAGATCGAGTCCCGCATCGGGCTCCTTGCTCAGCAGGGAGCCTGCTTCTTCCTCTGCCTGCTCTGCCTGCTGCTCCCCCTGTTGGTGCGTGCTCACTCGCTCTCTCTGACAAATAAATAAATAAAATCTTAAAAAAAAAAAAAAAAAGAAAGAAAGAAAAAGAAAAAGAACAAGGTATACCTGAATGTTACTAGGCTAAAAGGAAGTAACTGGCTGTTAAAAAAAAAAAAAAAGATACCAGAAATACAACACAGAGAGAGAGTAACAGGTGAGGAGGCAGGAAGGGATAAGATCAAGGACACAGATGAAAGAGTTAGACTTGAAAAGGAGGAGAAGAGACAAGAATGACTGTAAAAACAAACTGCTTTATCATCTTTATTGATATGAAAGATGTCGAGCAATATCCTTCGGTTTACATTTAGTTTCCATTTTTGAGACTTCTCCTCTAATTTCAACAAAGTATTAAAAAAATCCAGTGTATAAATATCGCTGGGGAGAAGCAATTTTCTTTTCCTTTCCTTTCCCCCATATTTGTAAAAGCACTTAGTTGTGTATTACGCAGCAGGTAAAAGCATGACATATGCAAATCCATTCCGTATCAAAAAACTTACGCTTTTAGTTGCTGTTAGGAAAATAAGACAAAGCTGGGAATAGACCAAGGGTTAAGGTTCTTTTATACCCAAGCCTGATTTCTCATTTTTTTTTTTTTAAAGATTTTTTATTTATTTATTTGACAGAGATCACAAGTAGGCAGAGAGGCAGTCAGAGAGAGAGAGAGAGAGAGGGAAGCAGGCTCTCCGCTGAGCAGAGAGCCCGATGCGGGGCTCGATCCCAGGACCCCGGGATCATGACCCGAGCCGAAGGCAGAGGCTTTAACCCACTGAGCCACCCAGGCGCCCCCTGATTTCTCATTTTAATGCTATAATCACTGGTAATGAAATAAACCTCCTCGAGCTGCCACTCACCTGAAAGAAGGTCTCAAAGCCAAGAATCCTTGTAACTCAAACTCCTCTGGAAGTGGTGTAGCTACAGAAAGGTAGAAAGCAAGATTTGTAAACATTTTAATTTGAAAACTTATTCAGCACAGCGTTATTCACTAAATCAAGAAAATGACAATCTTCTATACAGAAAAAATGCTATCTATAATGCTCAGAGTTCTCTGCTCTTCTCTATAGTAATCCTGATAGCAGAATTCATGTATCAAATCCCTGCAGGTCATCTCTGGGTCCTTGACACTGTCCCCTATTCCTTACCCACTACTCAACACTAAGGGGACGGAGACAATGGGACTTTTCTTCCCTAGCAGCCTTAAAACTTTACAGCCTCAGACCCAGAAATCTCAGTGCTTAGATTATCTCCTTGTTTTACTCAAAGTGTTGAAAAACAACACTGACATCACCCAGGAGCAAGAAATGTAGAAACTTAGGCACTAACCCAAACCTACCAGTTTATGATTCATCATAAACCGCATTTTAACAAAATCCCAGGTGATTCATTGCAAATTAACACTTGAGAAGCACTGATCTGACGGAGTAAAATAATCAGAAAGGAGTCAACTACAGATTGTTCAGTGCAGAATTATTTGTAATGGGGAAAATTTTAAAGGAAATAGACAATGAGGCCACATGACGGCCAAGGGCGCCTGGGTGGCTCAGTTGGTTAAGCAACTGCCTTCAGCTCAGTTCATGATCCTGGAGTCCCAGGATCGAGTCCCACATTAGGCTCCCAGCTCCAGGGGGAGTCTGCTTCTCCCCCTGACCTTCTCCCCTCTCATGCTCTCTCTCTCTCTCTCTCTCTCTCTCTCTCTCTCTCTCTCAAATGGATAAATAAAATCTTAAAAATACATAAAAATTAAAAAAAAAATACATGATGGCATATTCACAGGGCAGAATATTATGCAGCCAGTAAAAATCATGTTTCAAAAATGTTTAAATGGCAAAGGAAAATGCTAACAATATAATGTTAACTTTAAAAAGCAGGTACAGAGGTGCCTGGGTGGCTCAGTGGGTTAAAGCCTCTGCCTTCGGCTCAGGTCGTGATCCCAGGGTCCTGGGATCGAGTCCTACATCGGGCTCGCTGCTCAGCGGGGAGCCTGCTTCCTCCTCTCTCTCTGCCTGCCTCTCTGCCTACCTCTGAACTCTGTCTGTCAAATAAATAAATAAAATCTTTAAAAATAAAAAGCAGGTGCAAAGCTGTATATGAAAGCAATCACAGGCCATTTGTATATACACATAAGAAAAATGTCCCAAGAAATACACTATCACATGAATAAGTACAAAGTATCTTTGTATGAGAACACCATGGGTGACTCCTGTTCTTAATGTGTGAATGTCCCAGATGTTCTATAATAAACAGGTATTACTTTAACGGAATAATACTGTTCCCATTAGCACCTTTAAAAAAAATAGTAAGAATATGGCAGAAAGAAGAAGAAAGAATTTAAAGGTATTGTACTCTTTGGACTCCTATTCAAATGTAGCTAAATAGGAGAATATGCTGCTGGGAGAAACGTTAAGAACATTCTCTCTAATTCCATCCTCTTAATCATGATGAGTATAGAGTTCAAAGTCACTTCTAAGATACTGAACTTAAAGTCACTAAGTTAAAAACAAGAGCCTGTTTTTTCTCTGGCCTTAAGCCTAGTATTGGTGATTTAGAACAATGTCAACAACGTAAGATTAAGAGAGCCCTTACCATTAGTACTTGAAAGATCCTCTTCATGGGGATGGAAACTATTTAAGAGAGAAATTAGCCAGGGCCAAATGCTGTGAATTAAAGAGACATTTCAGACATTTTTAAAATACAGAAACCAAAACACTAATAAGCCATCACAATGTTATTTATAGGACCTGGACTTTATGTATTTTTTTCCCTTGCTTCAGCATTTTAAAGGCTATATGATTTCCTAAAACCTATTTTCAAAGATGTCTAGATAAAAGATACCAAAAAAAGGGTCAAAGATGTACAACAGAGATCTACTATGGCAGATCATTTCCCAGGCTCCTAATTTAATAATTAGTGAAAATAATTTGTTAAACACTGATAATGGATATTTACTAAGAACACACTGTCTAGAGAAACAACATATTATGTTTTCAAAGCTGTCATATACATTATCAGTTATGGAACCCATTGCTAGTTCTTAATCTGTGACAGGGTAGGGTACACCACAGACAAATTATATTCTCTGTTCAAGGGTGATGAGTATGCCTTTTCTTTATGATACAAAAAAGTGCACATACTGTAAAAATATCAAGGTAAACTGAAAGCTTTCATTTGTCACCATAAAATCAAAAGCTCCTAAGAAACATCACAATTATTTTGAGTAGAGATTACAGAGAAAATGGTTAGAGCCAAAATAATTTCCAATCCTCTATGCTCAAAACAAGCAAACATAACTTAAACTGGGTATTACTTTTAGGCAAACAGAAAATAATGGAAAAAGTAAAAAAAAAAAAAAATCACTTCTCTTCAACTTCTAAACAGAGAATTGGAGCATACTGTAATAGGTAAGAAGTCAACTGGTTTTACTTCAATTTCATTTTGAAACGTGAAAAACGTTTCTTCCCCACGATGGCAGCCAGGAATGGGGGGGGAACCCACAGGGAGCCAGAAATCCTTAAGATTGTGCCTCACACAAGAAATTCAAACAAATAAATAAAAAGCACACAAAGAGGTCTTTGGTTCAATTTCCAGAGAGGAGGTAGGAAATACAAGCATTTCATTGTTCAAATGTTGTGTTTTAGGAGGCGGTTTCTACATATCTAGGACTATCAAACAAAAAAAGCACACAAGCTAACATGAAATTCTAAGATACTTACTACTGTCTTTCATCCACCACTGCTTCCTGAAAGACCCTGGGTCTAAGTCTCAGCCAGTCCATGGAGACCTTGACTGCAGGAAGGGGATAGGCATTGTAGGACTCCTCCTGAGACTTGTTCTGGAGAGGACACTTGCACAGGATGCCAAGAAAAGACACTTAAAGGAAAAATGCATTCAGAAAGCGTAAGATATTTGAAACTATGTACCAGTCCAAATTAAACTACCATTATGAGTCTTCTGCTACTTAACACAAATACCTCACAGTTTTTTTCTAAAAAGGCATTTTTTTCCCCATGTTAAAAATGTTACAGGGATAACATGATGAAAATGTTACAGGGGTGCCCAGCTGGCTCAGTCAGTACAGCATGTGACTCTTGATCTCAGGGTTGTGAGGATGAACCCCATGCTGGGTGTAGAAATTACTTAAAAATAAAATCTTAAAAAAAAAAAAAATGTTACAAGGGCACCTGGGTGGCTCAGTCAGTTAAACAACTGCCTTCAGATCAGGTCATAATCCCAGGGTCATGGGACTGAGCCCCACATTGGGGTCCCTCCTGCTTCTCTCTCTCTCTCCCTCTGCTGCTCCCCCTGCTTGTGAGCTCATTCTCTGTGTCAAATAAATAAATAAAATCTTAAAAAAAGAGTTACAGATATAGTTGATGAGGGGAATATGAGTAGATAAAAGGACAGAACTTAGGGTTTAGGCCTCCAGATTCAATATTGGGAAATATAGGACACATTTTCATATGTCACTAGTACTCTGTTACAATGATGAAAATGCCTAACATTATGTTTTCCAAAGAAGACAGCACAGAAAATGAAATGATTTAATACTTACTAAAGAGGGCCAGCAACTGTGTCCAACACAGCTGCTCATCTTGGCTATAACTATGCTGCTCCGTTTCATTGCTAAAGTCACGAAGGTGATGAAGTTGAAACAGGTTAATGACAGTGACGTGAACTAACTGCTGAGAGTTGAAAGCTTTTTGGAATAGCAGCCTCTGTAAAAGATGACAGAAATACTGCATGTATTATCAAAAACAGGAACCACCTTCTACACAAGAATTAAACTGGTGGTCTGCATTTAAAGTCACATGACTAACAGATACAGATAAGTAAATGTCTCCACCCTTAATCCCAGGATTTTAACGGAGTCTGATGTGGTCCGATGTTTCTCTGGCTGACTCTCTGCCTTGAAAGGAATTAGCCCAGACACCACAGGGCTCTTGGAGCTGTTTTTCACAATACTTTTTTTTTCCCCTGTAAACTGTGTGTTTTTTAATATGAGAAAAAAGTTTTGGGAATCAGTCAATAAACGTATACATCTTAATCCATTAGAAGCAGTTTTGTAAGAGATGCATACATAGTAAAATATTAAGTTGGAACCAATGACTAGAAAGTAGATGCACACAGTAAAAAGGAAATTTCAAACTAAAAGACTGAAAAATGTTTTGAACTGTTGGTCATACGTATATAAGTTATACATAAAGAATGACTTCCAAAATTTGTCATAAAATTTACTCTTTCAAAGGCTTGACACATTTCAAGAAACTTACTTATAAATGGAGTAGATAACAAGAACCTACTTTGGAACATAGGGTAATGATCTACTAAGACAATAAATAATGTATTATAGGTAACTTCTACATCTTAGAAAAGCACATGTATGATCTTCATCATCAAATTCCTTTTACTTAATAACTGTGTTGTTCACAGCAACCTGCTAACCTGGTTATTATGAGAAAGAAATCACTGACCATGCTCTCAGCTGGTAGCCTCAATTTAGTCACCTTTTTACCTTAGCACCTGCAGTACTTTTAGTTTATTTCCACATAAAATATTTTTCAAATACAAGTTCCTAATAAAGCTGATAGCTACTAGAGATGATATCCTCGCTTCACCGTATGCTTAACCTACAGTCAACCTCCTTCCCTCTTAGGAAATGGATACAAGTGGGGATTCACTGTCACTTGGCTTATGGTGGGAAACAGATAACCTTATTTACAGTTCTACCAGCAATGACAAGAGAGCCTACCATCTGAGAAATTTACAGCTGCCTTTATCCAGCTCCAAAGATTTTTTTTTTCTGTTTACATAAAGAACCTGAAATATCCAGAGTAAGTTTAATGATTCTATTACAAGGTGTTTTACATTATCATGGCAGAAAAGTACAATTCAATTCCACTTAAACTCCTCTCTCTGCCTCCTTGCCATCTGCCATTCCAGTAAATACATCTAGAATGCTTATTCCTTTTCTAAAGGCATCAAGCATTTTTCTTTCCTTTCTTCAAAACATTCTGAAATTGTATCTCTTCTTCAGACTTCTCCCACAGAAGTTCTCCTTCAATCTCTACATACAACCTTTTAAATTGACCATTTACACAAATATAGCATACTGAATAAAATGAGAATTATAGCTTCTATTTTTCAAAAAGCATTTTTCCTTGTGGAAAAATGTATCTATTAATCCACTGGCATTTTATTTTAGATGGCAATACCCAACAGAAGACAAACACAGCCCTTTAAGGGATTTTCTAGTGTATGCACAGAAACATTAATCATATGAGTACAGCCTAAGTACTAGCAAATGATAATGTAAAATTTCAAGAAAGCACAGACTTTGTCTTGGTCTTCTTTCTATCCCCAAGAGCCCAGGGAAGTGTATGGTACACAGGAGGTACTCAATAAGTATTTAGTGAAGGTACAACCCACACCTTTGTAAGGAAATGTGTAACTATTTCGTTGTAACTTCATAAAATTTAGATTACACTGTAGTAAGTGAAGCGCCTCATCAGGAACAAAATCAGATCGGAGCTAACACAGTGTTATTCAAAGATGCCTTCAAGAGCAGTTGGGAATATACTTAGCTAAATACCATGAAAAAACAGTACATAGTGAACATATATAAAAAGCCTCGTGTCTCATTTCCTAAACCTTAAGCCTTTCAGTAAACCTCAACTTAGGAGCTAAAGATTGCTAGTTACACAGACACACTGAAGTTTACATGTAGATGATACTAATGATCTACATATGCTTTAGAAACACTTTTGCGTATTTACACAACTACGCTAAAATTTCACCCCAACAATGTTCTTCTAATGTTTCAGAAATGAGTAAAGTTTAAAATAGATCTGCCTCATACTATGTTTAACTTCAAAGCGTTGGAACGATTCTTCAAAGTATATTTACAATTGCCCACATATCCCCCCACAACTTTATATACAGAAATATATAGCTGAGGGGCACCTGGGGGGCTCAGTGGGTTAAAGCCTCTGCCTTCACCTCAGGTCATCATCCCAGGATCCTGGGATTGAGCCCCGCATTGTGCTCTCTGTTCAGCAGGGAGCCTGCTTCCCCCCCTCCCCTGCCTGCCTCCCTGCGTGCTTGTAATCTCTGTCAAATAAACAAATAAAAATCTTAAAAAAAAAAAAAAAAGAAAGAAAGAAAGAAAGAAATATGTACTTGAGGGGTGCCTTGGTGGCTCAGTCAGTTAAAATGTCGGACTCTTAGTTTTGGCTCAGATCATGATCTCGGGATCCTATGACTGAGCCCCAAACTAGGCTCTACCCTCAGTTGCTCAAGACAGAGCCATTCGTCCCTGCCCCTTCCCCCAGCTTGTGTGTACATGCTCTCTCTCAAATAAATAAATAAACAAAATCTTTATACATTTATACTTGAAGAGAATATCAGTGTCTGAGGTTGCGTCAAATGCAAATGACTAGATTCTAGACCAGAATAACTTACATAGAGAAGATCTCATTTCCCCCTCTCTCCCCACTTAGGGAATATATCTTTCATAGACAGAGAGCCAGGAACAATCTCAAGAGGTCATCTGGTCCAATCCTCTGCTATTTTATAAAATTGTACCTAAACCATCCACGAAAGATGGCTGTCAACCTGACTTAAAAGCTCTCAAAAGAGAGAATCACCAGCAATCCCCTACAGATCTCTTTTTTAAGATTTAAGATTTCAGTTCTGACCTCAAAAACAGACAAAGATAAGTTATTTTAAAATAATCCTTCATCTATCTGAACACTTAAAATGAAACTTTTCAGACTTATTTGTTCTGTCCAGGCAGAACAGCTTAGGGCATAAAAATTAGCTGTTCCTTTCATGCACCTGACTCTATAAATCATGCATTAAAAGTTTAAATAGGCCACCAAAAGAAGCAGAAAACAGCAGGGGACTCTAGAAGCTTATTTTAAAACAAACTATTTCTATTATAGTTATTTAGTACAATCTCTTATACATAAGAAGTGTCAGCTACAAAATGATTATCTGTAAAAAGTACTTCGCATTGACGATATTTGGCTAATTATGTCTCTTAAGTATCTAAACTCTACAATTTCCGGAATATGTTACTTTTTTAATACTTATGAAACTATAAGGCAATTATAGATAATTCCCCAAGTGTTTAGATACCCAGAAGTAACCAGAAATAGAAAATGTTCTTTAGACTGTCTTGTTTGCTGTTGATCCTAGTGACTAAAACAGTGACTGACAGGCAATCAAGTATTTGAATAAATAATTTGAAAACAAAGGTAATGTTTAATCTTGACTCCTCCCATATTTCATATACTAGACTACATATAAACTGCTAATTTAATATACTAATAGAAGATCATTTTCATATGAACAAAGGTTATTTAATTTTATCTCCTTATACAAATTGGTAAAATACAGTCCTGTAGAGTGAAATTCTCATTCCTTTCCTTCAAACTACCACAAATCCCAATGGATCAAAGCACTATGAGAATAAAGAACTAGGTTTGCAGAATGAAGTATTATAAAGTAGGTACCAGAATCCTACCTAGATATATAATAATATATATATATTATAATATATATATAATATAAAAACCATCAAAAGTGTACTTTCAGGGGCACCTGGGTGGCTCAGTGGGTTAAAGCCTCTGCCTTCGGCTCAGGTCATGATCCCAGGGTCCTGGGATCGAGCCCCACATCGGGCTCTCTGCTAGGCGGGGAGCCTGCTTCCCTTCCTCTCTCTCTGCCTACTTGTGATCTCTCTCTCTCTCTCTGTCAAATTAAAAAAAAAAAAAAAAAAAAAAAAGTGTACCTTAAAAACCGAGAAAGGAAGGTGCCTGATCTGAGAAGGAAGGAAGGAAGAAGTTGTTTTTCCTCACTTTAGCACTCTCTGCCAAACGGCAGCTCTTTAATGCAAACACGGCCGCCATGTTTCTCTACAGACGGTATCTTTGTTTAAAGTGAGGGGATGCTGTATGCAAGAATTCCATATGCTTCAAATTTAATTTTTACCAACAGTTCATAGTTAAGTAATGACATAAAAACTGGAAGTCAGCTTCCCCTAAATTTTATGTTTCCTGTTAGACAAAACAAAACACTCTGTATTTTTAAAATCTAACCTTAAACTGTTCTTCCAATTTCTCTCGAAGAGGGCTCAACTTTTCCAAGCTCTTACTCAGGTACACATGACCGTGGAATTTAATAAAGGCCTTGATGAAGTCAGAAACACCCCATTTGGTTTTCACCTCATCCCGGCTGAAATGAAAGAAAAACTTCCATGAGTCTTAAGCAGCAAAATGGCTAATATCTCCTCACAGAGGTTTCAGTCTGCAAAAACACACTGAGCACCTGACACACAAGGAGAGGAATCTGCAGCTAACTTTTCATCTGCAACACACTCAGAGGCGTCATCGGTATTGGGCAGTCTGTATTCCTCTACTAGGAACAAATAAGATGCAGATTGCTTGAAACTCAGCAACGACTGCATGCAAAACTATTAAAATATATCTGTGTTTTTAAAAAGTAGGCAAACAGAAGAGCAACACAGGTAACTATCAGTACTTGCATGCCCAAATTTGACAGGTGAAGGCCACCAGATTACACCAACTCCTGTTGGAAAAGTCAACCCTACCTTTCCAGTGCTTTAGAAAGTGCTTTTTGTAGATTAGTGGAGGCAGCTGGGAAAGGGAACTTCACAGCGATGCTTCTGCAGTAGTAGAAAATTGTGGTCAGATGGTCTCCTTTGGAAGAAGCTAAAATAGCCAACTGATTATAAGGCTGACCTAGAGGAGAAAGTGAAGATTCTATGGTAACCAAGATGCACAGTCTTGCTATCAGAGTACAGATGATCAGTTTTTAAACCTTTAAGTTAATAATGCAGAGTTTTTTATAAAGTAAATCTCATGACTACCTCATTACAAATGGGCATAATTTAAAATAGCACACTCCCACAACAGCACATACTACGTTTAGGTTAAGAAGTACACAATAAGGGGAGAAGTACTATTACGTTTAAACAAGACTTTAGAAAGGGCTAGACAGCAAATCTTCTTGGCTTTCTGGGCTTAAGAGTCTCTATGGCCACTGTAGCAGGGAAGCAGCCACAGCCAAGTAGGAAACCAGGTGCGCACTGCCACCCCCTGCTTCAAAGGGGCTCCTCTGAGAATCAAAAATTTCAACATGGCTTAACAAGAATGACGTGGATCACCAAACAAGAACCACTGCTAATTCCGATCCCGAGGTCATCAAAAGACAAAAGTCCTGTCTTTTAGGTAATAAAATACAATTTTTCTAGTAAGGAAATGGTGGTATTAAGGGATAATTATTTTATAAGTAATTAAGGAAGCCAAAGTTAACTTGTTGAAACAATTTTAGATCACACTGGGAGATATTCTATTTATACTGGTTTACTGAGAACAACAATCTTATTAAAATATTCATTTCTGGTTATACAGAATATACAATTAAAAGAAAAAATATGACCCAAACTCCAAATCAATCAATACCAAATCCCCAAAATGCAATACCAAAACTTGAAATCTTTTGCTTTCATAAAAGATGAAGACGGGAGATGAGCCTTGAGTTATTTTCCGTATTGTTATAAAGTTTCACAGTCATCCACAAGTTGAGGTAGGAGACCCACTCACCATTAGAGGGGACAAGCTGAGCTGCGTGCCTATAGTAGGACTCTGCCTGGCTGGTCTGGTTTCTGTATCGAGCTGAACGGAGAAAAACGAACACGTAGTTTAAAAACAAGCAAACAAATGAATAAAAAACCAGTAGGGTAATATTTCCAAAGCAACTATACTTTTCAATTCTAAAGATAATAAACACATTAAAATTAATTTAAGATCATTAAAGACCGAAGATACGTTAAAACAAATTAACTATAGGATTATGCGTAAAGTGTCCATCTGGCCTTCCCTATTTGGGACATTCATCACGTAACCAACTTTAAAGCTTACCTAGCCCCCATTTTCAGGTCCTCCAGTGTCATGCGTCACCAGCTCCCATTACGGACTATGCTGGTGACCTGGAGCCGGCCCACAAGAAGGGGTGAGTTATAAGGCACTTAAAAACAAAACAAAATAAAAAACACTATACAATATGATCTGAAAATTATGTATTTCCTCAATATCTTATACAGTGATTTTGGAAAATGCCTCATACCTACTTCAGTATTAAGCACGTGTGTGCACAGAATACACTGACAGGAAAAACAACCTAAATACACTGCTCACTGATTCTCCGTGCAGAACCTGGTGCTTACTCTGATGTGACCGCTCATGGAGGTCAGTGATTTATGATATCAAGAAATGTAAAAATCTTTGAACTTAAAGCAGTAAAGTTCTCCATTCCTTATTATTTGAGGACAGTTGAAACATAATCCCATAGTTAATTTGTTTTACAACCTTTTTAGGCTAACCTTGAGGATAAGTTACAGAACACTCGCAGATAAAATATATAAAATAGAAATAAAATTTAACTGTAAAAAGGAAACAATTTAAAAAGAGGTTTTAATAAACTGATAGGAAGGAAAGAAGACAAGCTAGCTTCAGAAGAAGGAACTTACAAACCCTGCAATTCCAAGAGGATACTTTCAATTTAGAAGACATGGCACCACTTTGAAAAATTTAGCTTTGATTACACTTTTTTTGCCTACATCTGCATGAGTCCGAAGGAAACTTAAATCTTAATATGGAAGTTGACACCTTCAAGATCTGTTGCCAATTCCGAAATATTGAGAAAATTTAAGTTAATTTACATTTTAGTTTCCACTAATGACCATCTAAATTGTGTGCAATCCTCAGTTTGAAGGAAAAGAGTTTCCTTCTGTGACTATGCCAAAGAAAAGGATGAATGTATTAGCAATTCCTTCACACCAAAGGCTCACCAATGTCTCCAAGGTGGACGAGGCAGTGCTGGCAGATATAGGAACAGGAGCTAGACTGTGGCTTCACTATGGCGCTGGTATGCATCTGTTTATTGCTGATAATTCCCAATTGGGAAGACTTCACACGGCATGGTAAATCCACATTAAACACTGTACATAGTTCTTGTAATAACTACAAGGAAAACATGAACAAGACTTAGTGATAAGCCAGAATCGGTAAGTCAGAAGTGTTCTAACAGTAAAGTTTATATACTTTAACATGTGTACCTAATATCATATACAATTGAGATGTGAGCAAAGACTGAAGAAAATAGGATACGATAACTAGTAACATTTATTATAAATCTTTTATCTTTTAAATTCTCAAATATTAGAGCCATCTAGGACGTGCCTCTAAAAGGAACAGAGTGGGGATGCCTGGGTGGCTCAGTTGGTTAAGCGTCTGACTTGATTTTGGCTCCAGTCATGATCTCAGGGTCTTGGGATCAAGCCCAAGAGTTGGGCTCCACACACAGCAGGGAGTCTGCTTTTCTCCCTCTGTCCCTCCCTCTTTCTCTCAAATAAATAAATAAATAAATAAAGATCTTTAAAATAATATAAACAAATAAATAAATAGAAGGAAAAGCAGAACACCTTGATGGCTTAGTCAGTTAAGTATCTGGCTCTTGATTTTTATTCAGGTAGTGATTTCAGTGCTCCTGAGATGGGCCCAGTGGTAGGCCCTGCCCTAACAGGGGAGTCTCCCCAGGATTCTCTCTCTTACATACTCTGTCTCCCCCAACAAAATAATGCATAAATAAATCTTAAAAAAAAAAAAAAGGAACAGAAACATTATTAAAAAAGACTTTACCTAAATAGGGTATTCATTTATATTTAGCAAGCTACTCCAAGAAATCTACTATTCCTCTTAGAAACATAAAAACCAGGGCTCCTGGGTGGCGCAGTTGGTTAAGCGACCAACTCTTGGTTTCAGCTGAGGTCATGATCTCAGGGTCATGAGATCAACCCCCGCCTCAGGTTCCTTGCTCAGAGAAAAGTCTGCTAGAGAGTCTCTTTCCCTCTCCCTACTCCTCCTGCTTATGCTTACCCACTTTCCCTCTATCTCTCCCTCAAATAATCGTAAAAAAGAAAAGAAAAGAAAAGAAAAAGAAACACATACAAAATAACATTAATGATTGGGTGGTTACAAATATGACTTAAATACAAGCCAACATATTTGTCAGACTTTAGGAGTTCCTTGAGATAGAAGACAGACTGATTTTTTAGGTAAGTTCCACACCCAGCATGGAGCCCAACACGGGGCTTAAACTCGCGACGCTGGTATTAAGACCTGAGCTAAGATCGAGAGTCCACTGCTTAACTGACTGAGCCACCCACATGCCCCCTTGAGATTTACTTTCTTAACCCCTAGGTCAGTTCATATCTTTGCATATGTAACAGATCTGATGGTATTACAGATCTGGAAGGGACTTTTGACATTATATAAACCACCCATTTTTTTCCTTTTTCCATTAGTCTCACTATTAAAGGTACCTCCTCCTGGTCAGAACTAACTCCTCTGCCTAAGCATACCTATTTCATTCTTGTCTGCCTCCTGCCTATCGTCCCCTCTCTCTCATGTCTACTTCCAACTTCTCATGCTTCTTTGCTGTAACCTACGAATATTAAGCGTCGCCTATAGAAAATAATAATAAAAAAACCCCCAAACCAAAACACTCTCCTCCTTGACCTTAGATTCCTTCTCCAGCAACCTTCTAATGTCTCTTTTTCTTACCAAACTCCTTCAGAGGAATCCACATATGTGCTATCTGCTTTCTGAATTCCTAGTCGCTCTTTATTGCATTGTGATCTGCCTTCCACACAAACCCTCTTGCCATCCCACCACCTCTCTACTGAAACTGCTGTCCATATAACAACCAGTTATCTAATAAGCAAATACAATGGACACTTTCAGTCATCATCTTATTGGATCTCTTTGCTGTATTTAGAACAGTCGACCTTATGACTCATCACTGAGCTTTGCTAGCTGTTGCGTTGCTTTGTAGCTGTTGTTTTGTCTTACCAACCATTCCTTTTCAGTCCCCTTTATCCAAAGACTTTTCTCCACCTACCTTGCTCCCCAAGGGTTTCATTCTTGGCCCCCAAAGAACTCTTTGCATTCTACTCCCATTTATTCAAATATTTATTTACCAATATATTCATTCACACATCTGGTCTGTATCAGACACCACGGTAAGCAACAGAGATGAGTAAGAAAACCTACCTTCTTAAAGAGCTCACGACCAGATGAGCAAGACGGGTAGATAAAGTGGGAGTGGGGAAGGGAAGGGGCAGTGAACAGCAAGAGATATCAAACATGACATGAGCATAAGCCAAGAGAATAATCTACATTTATAGTCAACATTATTCCCTAGGTTACTTGATACCTTTGTCTCACTTATCCTTGTGATAAACTACTAACAATACAGTACATATAGTTATAAAGCTCCATTTTTTCAGATGAGGATATGAAAGCAACAGAAATACCAAGTGATTTGACTAAAGTTACAGAATTAGAAATACCTTTATTCTATCATCACTCTTTCTAACATGTGCAGAACTCAAAATATAAAGTAAGACATTCTGAGGACCCCACTCGGGATTTGAAATGTCCCACATTTTTCCTAAGTTAAAAACCACTTTCAGAACCGAATACAAGTTCTGTGTTTCTTACTAAGCAAAGAAATTATCTACTTCAGCTTTACTTATACCTATACATTTGTTATAGGCAAGAAATTTGCTGGCATAAAATTAGGTAAACAAGTTAAAGCCCAGAATGGTTAGAATCAGGAAACATTAAAGGCAAGAAGTATAGAAAGAAACAAAAAAATGGGGTGAAAAAAACACAACAAAACCAGATGACTGCATAAGATGACAAGAAGAAACATGACAGGTGGTGGAGAATGGAGTTTGGTGAGTACTGAAAGAACAGACTAGAAAATTAGGCAAGGCGGAACATCTACCAATAAGAAAAAAGGACATTCACGAAAGGTAAATCAAACATGGCTGGAGCATCATGTGGAATGCCTCCTCTAATAAAATTTTTGTCTGAACCCAGGGGCTGCAGAGGAAGATACCAGAAAAGTTCCTTCGGACTCAGAGGTTCTGGGTGAGAGATCTCTAGTGGGTTTAGATGCAGAAGTAAGGTGGCAACGAAGAAGAGAAGCAGATCTATATTTGGCAATTATTCTGTGAAAACTCTGTATTGTACTATTCCACTGCTCCTTAGTCTTTGCCCTATGTTAAGAATGGAGAACTAATGATGAAGGCACAGAACATCACCTTTCAAATTACTACAGAAACTTAGTGATACTTTCCTTTTGGCTCCCACTTTCTTAGAGTAACAACTATCTGTTCAGTTCTTTGATGTTTTCAAAAAAACCTACAGCGGAATGTTACATCTTTACTTTGAGAATTTCCTTCTGGCTTGAGGTACCATGCTTTCAATGGCTGACAAAATGACCATCTTCACAGAAACTGTAGCTGAGGATGACAGGTATCAGTCTCTTCTCAATTCCCTTCAATCAGAATTCTATCCCCACCACTTTACCAAAGTCACAATGCATCAAATCCAAGATACCACAAATTATAAGATAAACTATTATTTATCACACTGAGAAAAAAAAATACTGCCCATTAAACAGTGACTTGCAATCTTCTTTGAACTTATCCCTGTTTTAGAGATGCTAAAATATGAAAAATAGTTTAGAAATGAAGAAATACAGTATTTGTTAATGTCACCAGGGACTTCCATGTAGTCAAATCTAATTGGTCCCTTTTTTTTTTTTTTTTTTAAGATTTTATTTATTTGACAGAGAGAGAGAGATCACAAGTAGGCAGAGAGGCAGGCAGAGGAGGAGGGGGAAGCAGGCTCCCTGCTGATCAGAGAGCCTGATGTGGGGCTTGATCCCAGGACCCTGAGATCATGACCTGAGCCGAAGGCAGAGGCTTAACCCACTGAGCCACCCAGGCACCCCTAATTGGCCCGTTTTTAATCCCATTACTTGACTTCTTGGCAGCACTCGCCAGAGTTGGTCACTCTCACTCCTTACTGAAATGCTTTTCTCTTGGCTTCTAAGTCGCCAGTGTCTGATTTTCTACTACTGCAGTGGTGGCTCCACTTGTGCTAACCTGTTCTCCCCTAGTCCTGTGGTTTTAAAAATTTATTTATTTAGTTTGTCTTGGAGGTAGAATTTAGTGACTCATCAGTCTGCACGTACCACCCAGGGCTCATTACATCACATGTCCTCCTTCGTGCTCATCACCCAACTACCCACCCCCAATCCCTCACCCCACCACAACCCGCTTGTTTCCTAGAGTTCAGCGTCTCTTACGGTTTGCCTTCTTCTCAATTTTCATCTTATTTTATTTTTCCTTCCCTTCCCCTATGTTCATCTGCTTTGTTTCTTAAACTCCACATGAGTGAAATTATATGGTATCTGTCTCTGACTGACTTATTTCACTTAGCATAATACCCTCTAGTTCTATCTACATCTTTGCAAATGTCAAGATTTCATTCTTTTGATGGCTGAAATACTCCATTTTATTTACACACACACACACACGCACGCACGCACATCTTCTTTACCCATTCATCTGTCAATGGACATCTGGGCTCTTTCCATATTGTGGTTATTGTGGACAATCCTTCTAGAGACATTTGGGTGCCATGTGCCCCTTCAAATCACTGTTTGTTAGTCCTGTGGTTTTAAATACCAAAGACTAATGTCAGGCTAAGTTGGGGTTCTTTATTGTAATCATAAAATTTACTCCAACCCTGACCTTTTTACTGAGCTCCAAGTTTATCTAGTTTCCTATCTGACACCTGCACTCAGATCTCCAATAGGCTATCTCATTTAATACAAGCAGAGCTGCTTTCTCTCCAGTACTCCCCATCTCAGTAAATGGTATAAGCAGTAATCTAGCTGCTCAATCGGATACCTCAAGTCACCTGATAATTCTTCCCCTACCCTGATTCCACATATCCAATCTGATCCATCAGCAAGTCTACTTGCTATTCTTCAAAAAAATCCATCAATTTCTTTCCATTGTCACAGGGGCATCCTAATTAGCTTCTATTCCTGACCCCCAATAATTTATCCTCCATACAACAGCCAGGATAATCTTCTAAAAACACAAACTTTATCATGTTACTCCCTGGCCTCCTTTCCAATGGCTTGCAACTATACTTAAAAAGACTAAACTCAAAACTCATCTTGTCCTGTAAGGTTGTACAATGATCCGGACTTGGTCTATTCCTTCAATCTGGTGGCTTAATCTGCACTGCATGTAATCAAGAAAAATGTATAAAACATTACTGTCAGCAATACCATTAACTGTTTCAATGATCAAACGAAGACAACATAAAAATGGAAGTAAAAAGTTCTATTAATGCTAATATCTGAAAAAGTTTATTGATGTTCATTCTACAATTATTGTACTTCCTCAACAATGACTATAAAAATTGAAAAAATAAATTTCAAAATTAGATCACTCATGTATTTTCCTTATCAGATAATTTGAGAATGATTTTATTATTCACCTGCCCAAAAAAAAATTTTTTTTTTTTAACAAATATCATGCTCCCTCAATAAAAATGATGATTCTTGCTTTCCTTCCTTGCAGATTTGTTTCATCAATGTGCAATTAAAGCTTTGGAAATGTGTTACATATATATTGTATCTTTAAAAAGGTCAAGAATCAAGATTCAAGGTGACAAACCAATCTGTACAATGGCTATTATAAAAACATATTGCAACATGTGAATGCCTTCCCTCTCCCTCCACCAGGGCCAGCTGCTTAGAGTTCCTACTGTTCCCTCTATTCAGCTGTGTTCATTCACAATTCCAGTTTCTTTTGCATAGGGAAGGAAAGGAAAATAGATCTGAATCAGAAATGAGACAGGAGTTTAAAAAACAGACTATGTTTCAAAAACGTAAAGTCAACCAGAACATTACGGAATCTTTCTAAAAAGTTATGACGGAAATCTGGAACTCAACAAAGCACAGCTGAAAGTAGTGATGGAGAGAGGGAGGAAGAGACAACATTTTTGTTAATACTCTGAGCTGAGATGCCTCGATTAACATATGAGTCAAACTGTATACATAATTTTGTATGATTTTCCACTCAATAATGCCATAATTTTTCCATCATTTAAAAAAATCATAAATATCACTTATAACAGTTTCATAAACTTCCATTTTACAGATATGCCATAATTTGATCATTACTCTATTTTAAGACATTGTGTTATTTTCAAATTTAATGATTTAAGTTATAATATCTATTTGTTCTTTTACATAGAAATATCATTGTCCTTATTAAATATTCACTGATCTATGGACAAAGAAAAGACTACAGTACAAAAAAAATAAATAAACAAACCTGGTAACGTTAGGAAGCTCTGAATAAAATGAAAAACAAAAGGAGAAACTGGAGATATTTGCCAAAAACCAATAAAAAATTAGTATCTCTCATGTATAAAGAGCTCTGGAAAAAATAGGGTCCAAACAATGAACAGGAAAAGTAAGCTGATGATTTATATAAAATACAAATATCTAATAAAATATGAATCCAGTTCAACACTAGCAATTCAGATGTTAAATTTTAAATGAAAAGTCATTTTTCATTTATTAAATATGAGTTATTCATTTAATCATTCACTTAATCATTCATTTACTTTTACTGAAAACACAACGCTGGCAACACACATCAAGACAGACACTTGCATATACTGCTGATAGAAATACAAAAATATAAATGATAATCTTTTGGGAAAACAACATGTATCAACAGTTTTAAAATTTCATTCATCCAGTGATTTCATTCATCACCCAGTGAAGAATTGGTTATCATGAAATAATTCAATATTAGAGAAAATGCTTTATACGCAAAGATCTTTATCAAACTGTTTAACAACACAAGGAAAAATTTACATTATGTTTATAAAGCAGATATAAGGCTATTTGTCTTACATGTCTTGTATGTTCAAAATTACTAAAACACCAGAAGGATATATATACTAAAATAGTAATCTATCCTGAATGGGAAAATTAATTCAAAAAATTTTTATTTTTGTGTAATTTCCAAATTTCTTGAAATGAGTATGCATTATTTTTATAATCAGAAAGCAAAGAGAATATCTATTAATGTTTCCACCTCTTCATTCAGACTCTATGTTCCCTTAAAGGAAGACTCCTTCCCCTTCATATTCCCAGTATCTGTACTGTACTTTACAAATAGTAGGCTTTTAAAAGCTACTTGTGGAATAGCCAAACTATGGAAAGAACCTAGATGTCCATCAACAGATGAATGGATAAAGAAGATGTGGTATATATATACAACGGAATACTATGCAGCCATCAAAGGAAGTGAAATCTTGCCATTTGTGACAACATGGATGGAACTAGAGGGTATTATGCTTAGCGAAATACGTCAAACAGAGAAAGACAACTATCATATGATCTCACTGATATGAGAAGTGGAGATGCAACATGGGGGGTTTGGGGGATAGGAAAAGAATAAATGAAACAAGATGGGATAGGGAGGGAGACAAATCATAAGAGACTCTTAATCTCACAAAACAAACTGCAGGTTGCCGGGGGGAGGAGGGTAGGGAGAGGGTGGTGGGGTTATGGACACTGGGGAGAGTATGTGCTATGGTGGGTGCTGTGAAGTGTGTAAACCTGGCGATTCACAGACCTGTACCCCTAGGGCTAATAATATATTATATGTTAATAAAAAATAAAAAATAAAAAAAAACCAAAATAAAACAAAACAAAAAAACAAAAATCAGCCACTGAAAAAAATAAAAATAAAAAATAAAATAAAAGCTACTTGTGGAATGAATTAATCTTTAACATCTACTTTAAGGACTAGTTAGCAGCATACCACAATCCCTCTCTCCAGAAACATCGACTTTTACTGTTAGAAGCTGACATAAATTTGAAAATAAATTTCGAGACTAAGAACCATACTTGAGTTCTTTCAATAATGAACTGTGAGGAACGTTTTAGTCTAAGTAAAACAAATAATCTCCCTAAGATGATGGCTAACTATGGGACAATTTCCAACACAAAGTCTTTTCTTCTCCTTCTTTCAAAGAAATGATACAACCAAAATGAAGCCAAAATACAGGTAGCAATGGTCAAGAAGCAACATAGAGAGAATGGCCAAAGATGAGTCCAAGATCTTTAAAACCTCAGCTCATCATTCTAAGATGAGAGTTTATACACATTTTATTAAATAAATTATGAACGCCACTACAAATGGATGAGATGAAGTTTCTACAAGATTCTGCTTAAAGAAAAATCACTGTTCAGGAAGATCTATTCTTTTTTTAAAAAAGATTTTATTTATTTATTTGAGAGAGAATGAATGATGGGGAGGGGGAGAGACAGACAGTGAGAAGCAGACTCCCCTCTGAACAGGAATCCCTATGCGGGGCTTGATGTTGGGACCCCGAGATCATGACCTGAGTTGAAGGCAGACACATAACTGACTGAGCCACTGAGGCGCCCCGAAGATTAATTTATTTTTTCACCTTGCCTGACTTAGAAGTTATAGCAGGATGTAACCAAGGACAAGGTAAGTCTCTGAGGACGATAAATAATGGCTTATTATTAAAATGGAGCAAAATCTACTCCATTTCTTAAGTAGTTTAATAGCATTTAAAACCCCAGGTAAATTCTACTGAACACATAATACTATCAAAACTCACTTGGTATCACAAATTTTGATGATTTCTTGCCTGGTACAACACAGCTGTTACTTTCATAATGACTATACCCATACTCATAAATTCACATTTGCTCTAATACCACTTATAACTGATTACTTCTACTGTTATCACTAAGGCATGGTTTTTTTCTACTCATTATCCTTTTTCTACTCACACAATTATACCTCCAACCTTTAAGCCAAAACATCAACTTTTGGTTAAAACTTTATTGTTTGAAAAGCCTTATGGTAAACAATTTGGGATATTTTTATTCATGTCAGATTATAGGTGATCAACTCCTGGATGGCCCACGTAGTGGTAACAGAAAGTGTTTATACGAACAACAAGACACGTACGAAGCACATTCACAACTAATTCTAGAAGAATTGGTATAAATGCAGAACTCACCTGAGTATAGAAGCCACTAGCTGCCTCTAGGAACAGAGAAAGGTTTGCCTGAACTTCACTCCGATTCGGGTTTGCTCGATTCTTTGCCTGGCCTTGTAGTGTTGTGATCTGATTCTTAAAGGCATGATTCCAGCTGAAAACAAAATGTAATTCTATTTGGTATAGCAGTGACTCACTGGGCAGACACTGGTCCCCCTGAGAACAAGAAAGAACTGTTTGTTATAACACACTAGACAGTAAACCTGCATTAAAGTTATTCACTTATTTAAATAACTTTATGCTCCTCTTTGAGCAAGACTACACATGCAGCAGAATCCAACTGACCTTAGTAGACACTTACCAGTGTTCGAATAATCACACTGTGGCTTCAGTTATTAATCTTTTAGAGCTACTAGAGTTAAAGCCTATTTAGGAATCCCAGTACAAAATCAGAACTACAGTGGCAAGACCAAAGTAAAAGTAAGCTATTAACGAATTGCCATACATTATGCGAAGAAATAATTCTTTTTGAAAATTCTTCTTGAAAATACTAAGTCATATCTCTTATTTCCATAAAATCTATTTCCCACAGCACTCTGTTCTAATTCTATTTAAGACTTTTATTTCTCTTGGGGTTAATATTTTCTTGAGAGCTTGAAATATAAGTTCATTTTTTGACATTTCAATTCTGGCTATTTAAAATAGGAAAAAACACAATGTTGAAATATGGCATGCCAAAATCCTATTATAAAATGTCTTTCATTAATCAAGCTATATACAGAATCATTTTAAATTCAGTTATGGTGAAATACAGTCATTCCTTAACTTGGAAACCACAGGAGGGGAAAAAGGAACTAGGATGGAGAATATTAGAATTGCTTCGATTAAAGGAAGCAAACACAGATAAAAGGTCTACAACCTACCTGGAAAGTACCTAATTCTTTATCAACCTCAACTCTGAGACTCAAGAGCACTGGGTATTTTTAATGGTTTATGAGGACAATCACTCCCTCAGCATTTCTGATGATATTTTATCCTTGACTCTAATATCATGGAAATGGAATCTGAGTGGCTGTGATTAAGCTCTCTTATTACTAGAACTCCTAAAAATATAAAGTATCTAAGAAAGGTATAAAAGATAGGAAAAACTAATTTTCACCACAACTTAGGGTAATAGCCATTTCTGAATAGAATATTCTGAACTGATTTTTAATTTTCCATCAGCCTAATATCCCTGCTCGAATTTGTAAGGCAAGGCCTTCCACAACAGGCATTTATTTACTCACTTGGGAATCTGGTCATCTGCCATTTCACCTCTCATAGAAAGAACAAGTGGAATAGCCTAAATATACAAAATCTTTCTTTAGTCTTATTAGGGGAAGAAAAAATAAAAAAGGAAACACCTACTTATTTTATAAAAAGAAGAACTTCCCTTACAATGCAAACACATTTTTCTTCGGGAGAAATTTATAGAATCACATTTACCAGAGATTTATCTAAAGTTCACTACTGAATTTTTCAAGCCACGACTTAAAATGCAGGACTGGCTTAAATGGCTTAAATGCAGGACCGAACACATACAGAGAACCCAAACACTGTCTCTTAGTACCTGAAATATATATATATAGAGATTTGTTTTTATGATATGCCCTAAAGACGTTAAAAACATTCAAGTCCAAGCACTTCTCCTCCTGTCACCCAAGACTATCTGAAGTAATACGAATGGTTAAATATTTGGTTCAAAAAACCCACAAGTATTACAGGTATTAGAATTTCTTCTTTCACTGAAAGAGCTTACTCTGAGATAGGTTAAGAAGAAATAACCAAATCGTTCCTTTCTATCCTAAAGTCTTGGTAATACTCTTGATCTTACAGGGACATCCCAAATGATAATACTTACAGATCCTGTTCTACTTTCTTGTCTAACGCGTATTCCAAATCAGTAACTAGCATTTTCTGGTACAGGTCCTGCAGAGCCTGTCTGGATGTCCAGACCTCAGCCGGACCCAGCTTAGAATCTGAGTAACAAAACAGACAAAACAACAGAGAGACAGAAAAAAACAGATAGTTAACATTATACCACACCAATGACTCCTTTCCTCTCCATTTCCCAAAGCAAACACCTGCTTTAGGTAGATACCACAGACTGCTGCGGAAGTTTTATACTACTATATTTTCAAATAACTTTCACCTTTTGGCTAATGACTAAATCTGGTTCGAAATGTTTCTGAATTTGTCTTTTGGCTTTGAAATAACATCATGACATGAGAAAGGCGAAAAAAATGAATGGTGTGCTCTTTGCTTTAGTTTAGACTTCTACGTATTCATATCAGAGGAAGTCATTTGCCTCAGAAGTCACCCCATTTAAAATGATGGACGGCTGAGATGGTCTGTTTACTCTCAGAACTATATTTCTTTCTCCAAAGCAGCTTTTTTATTTTGAACCATTCTCACAACCGTCCTTACAGAATCTTCATGTCTGCTCACAATCTAGCAGCTGTTTACACACTCTGCTGTCATTCCTATTCTCTATATATCAACCCAATAAAGCCAAACAGTGAGGGTTATTTTAATGATTGGTAAATTGCTTGCCAAGAAATTTTGTGAGCAATCCATACTTGCCATTTCATGTAAATAAGAATTCATAGCAGACACTGCCTGAACTGCTCAAGAGGCCAAATGAGAGAGTAGGTGCAAGATGAAAGGAAGTCATGCTAGGACTAAATGTAATACCCAACTGGGGCCATACTGTCTGCCAGAGTTCTGTAAGACACTTCAGCTTTTCCGGTTACTAGGCTTATGAGTGTAATAACTGATAGTCAGCTGCATCAATAGAAGACCTAGTAACAGATATTTCAATTAGGCTTCTGGTTACATTTAATATTTTGCAACAGCACAATGACACAGTTTTTACTCTTCTCTAAGCCTGCAAATAAAATCAGTTTTTGAATTAATCCTCAAAAGAGTTTGCTGGCTACAAAAAGCATGGTGTAGTATCAGCTTCTTGGTCCCTTATTAGGTTTTTAATGACTAAATAAACAGATTTATAGATTTATTCAATCTTGTTTCGATTCGACTATGGCAGGGGAAGGATTATAAGGGATCATTAACTCTGATCTATCAGACAGATTATCATTTAAATTACTTAATATCCAAGTTAATGTTCTTGGGCAGTCAAATGTTCCTTATAAAAGCCAAACTCTAAGCCTACTTACTGAGGGTATTTAATACTTAAGAAAAAGTAAAAGGTATAGCTAGCTGAAAATTGCTCCAAGTCTAATTTTTGTCACATAATGCATATTATGCCTAACAGGACAATACAAAAGCATAATACAGTAGCTTAGAGCTGACACTAATACCCATAGTATGGAAGATGATGGCAGTCATGTTAATAATGGGAGGAACTGAGGTACTATATTAAGTAAACCTGTTAAAAGTGCTTTTAGCTTTTTTCCCTCTTTTCCTTGAACAAGAAGATAATGATATTACCCACAAATTTTAAAAACAATAGGACCAACATTAATATTAACATTAGACTGCAATGTTGAGAAAAAGACATCTAGATCCTATTCCTTCTTGACTGTAAATTTTGGCCAGAATACTGTTGTAAAAATTTAACTCTTCTTTGTGGATTTCACTTTAGAACTAAAGTTCTCAAAAATAAGAATGAGATCCTTGTTTACATTTAGGTCACCATATGCTGCTACAGAGAGCACAATGATCACTACATAGTCATTGTCATATATTTCCCAATTTTGGAAAGTTAAAATCATCTGCTCCTTCTAGTGACTTCCAGCTATTCTTTCAAAAACACATTGGTTATTTATTCAAAACAAAAAAGACAAGGGAAAAAAGAAAGGTGGCAAAGCAGCTCACTCAATTTCAAGGACTTTTAGTAGTTTTCCTACAAATATTTTTTCTCAAGGTCTAATTACTATTCAAGTTTGGGGAATATAAACAGGAAGACATGAACCTAATACCCTAAGATGTTTTTAATATGGTATATGCATTCTTTTTTTTATGTCTTAAATTGATGATAAACAGTTCATAAAAATTAAATGATTATATGCATTAAGTTACTTAATATTTAATTCAGTATAGCACAGATTATACAAAATTCTTGATGATCTAAGTAAGAATTCAAAGTTCAAAAACAGTAATTATTAAAAGCAAACAGTAAGTTATCATTCCTCTGGCAACTAGGACAGTGAAACAAGTAAAACAGGGAAGATGACACCCTTCCCTCAATTTAATGGTATAAAATAAGTGTGAAAAACAAATGAGTGAGCCAATACCTGTCATGTCAGCCTTCAGGACTTCTGCCTGCCTAAAAAAAGGGGGAAAAAAAACATCGATTAGAAACAAACTAGGCCTATTCAACATAAATAACCCTGAAAGTTAAAAGTTAAATGAAATCATATACTACATAAAGAGGTATAGCACCTCCATATGTGAGTGTCCCTGCTTTAGTATCCAGGATAGCCTAGGTCTTGGCCAATGATGCCATTGCTTAAAAGTAAGTATACATGAATTTTATGAGTGGAGCTCACATTCTTGCTGTTTTCCTCCAAATCTGATTTTAAGATAACATTAAATGACATTCATTAAACACAAAAATTTCCCTCAAAGCAGCTAGGAAATCCTATGTTTCTCAATTCACTAATCACTGTACCTATTTCAAATTTCCCACTCTCCTCAGATGTTGATTTCTGGTGTCTTCATAAGGCTAGCCCAGCTGCTAAACCCACACAGGCCTCTTCTTCCTTTCTCCGGTGCAAACACTAGAGGCACTGTATCTCTTATTTAAGATCAGTAATTCCACTTCGTAGGCTCTTTCTGGCCTTTATTAAGGACTTCTGCTTCTTTAATTATTTCCTCCCTCTTTCAATAATTTTGAAAACTTCCCTGTGTAGGAGATCCTTTAGTATTTTAAACATGCCCAAGTTTTTCACAAGTTTTTCAAAACCTCCTATCTGTCCTAGATTATCCTCCTCTCGCTGCCGCTTCTTTTCTCTCACATTCTTCAAGAGCTCCCAAACTGAACTTCTGATCCACCTGCAGGAAGGGGATCTCTTTCTGGTGTTTTTACCTTACCAAATATATCACTGCTTTCCCACTGTGAGAGGCAGACACCTGGATGTCACCCATGACAACGTTCTTCCAATCCCCTGGTAATCTATCAACTCCAGAGAATTCTACCAACTAAATATATCTTCAATCTGTTGATTTCCCTTTACCACTTCTTCATCTACTCTCACTCAAGTTCTGAACTATCTCTTTCCTGGACTAATGCAAAACCACCAAAATTGTTTTCTCTATTTTACTCTTGTCCTGTTTCATACTGTTCTGTCTGCTGCTATCTGAGGGATCTTTTATACAAATCTGAGGGGCTCCAGGGTGGATCGGTTGGTTAATTGTTCATGATCTCAGGGTCATAGGATCAAGCCCTGCCTTGTGCTCTGCGCTAGGCGTAAGACTGCTTCAGATTCTTGCTCACCCTCTGCCCTTCCCCCACCTCTAATGAAAAAAAAAATACAAATACAAATCTGATCTTACCAACTGCTCAAATAAGACACTTTAATGATTTCCCATTGCTTTTAGGGTAAAAACTATAATCTTTACTAAAGCGTCCTACAAGGTTCCCTGCACTCTAATTTAGAGTCTGCACTCTCCTTCTACCATTACTCTCTTCTCTCTTTGATCTCTGTGCTCCAGTTACTGGACTTCTGGTCTCTGCAATATGCTTTGCTCCCTTCACATTCAGGCTCTTTGTAAAGAAGAATCCCACCCTCTTTGGTTAATTACTACTCATCCTTTGTCTGAGTCAGACACATTATTTTCTCCAAAAAATGTCACTTGATAGATGAAGGATATTCTTATTTTCTGTTCTTAAAGCACTCATTTTTTTCATCATAGTACATATCACAGATTTTAAGTGCTCACCATCACAACCTATTAGCACATGTGCCTAGCACACAGTAGGCATCCAATGAATATCTTTTAAGTGAAGAAAGGATAAAGGATACATCATGTTCATATACTATAAAAAGGTATGTATATAAACTTATGAGATTTCCATGTCTTTTTTTTTTTTAGGATTTTATTTATTTATTTGACAGAGGGAGAGAGATCACAAGCAGGTAGAGCAGCTGGCAGAGAGAGAGAGGAAAGGAGGCTCCCCACTGAGCAGAGAGCCCGATGTGGGGCTCGATCGCAGGACCCTGAGATCCCTAAGATCATGACTTGGGCCGAAGACAGAGGCTTAACCCACTGAGCCACCCAGGCGCCCCTCCATGTCTTTTTTAAAGATTTTATTTATTTGAGATAGTGAGCAAGAGCAGGGGGAGGGGCAGAGGGAGAAGCAGACTCCCCACTGAGCAGGAAGCCCAATGTAGGACTCCATTCCAGGACTCTGGAATAATGAGCTGAGCCAAAGTCAGACGCTTAACCAACTGAGCCACCCAGGCATCCCAAGATTTCCATGTCTAAAAACAAAATATGACATAAAAGCTAGAGAATATTCAGAGATTCTAAAATTTTTACTGTAAATGTACTTAACTAATACCAGTTGTGAATTTGTTTCATCAAAACATAAGATGAAATTTTTCATTTCTTAACTTTTAAAAAATATATTTTTAAATTAAGCTTTCAAACAAGAGAAGAGCGTGTTATGAGAACTGCCAGTATAAATAAACAATATAAATAAACACCTATACTTTATCCTCAACCATGACATCATTTCAAATCCCATTATTCAATATAACCAGCTTCACTGTTTGCTTTGGGTGTTAAACTTTTGCCATTAAAACAAACAACTTTCACAAAGTTTGTTGGCTTATACCATTAAAACCTCTTAAGATCATAGAATTTAACAAAGAATATCATATATCCTGCAGAAGATGTTACATACAAACCTAAGAACCACAAATCAAAAACCAGTAATATCCAAAGAATAAAGAGAAAGAAATCCAAGTATATCACTAAAAAAAGGCCAGTAAACCATGAAAGAGAGCAAGAGAAGGATCACAGAAAAATTAAAAAAAAAAAAAACACCACAAAACAAGTAAAATGGCAACAATAAATATCAGTAACTACTTTGAATATAAATAAATTAAATACTCCAATCAAAAGACACAAGGTAACAGAGTAAATAAAGAAACAAGATCCATCTATATGCCACCTATGAAAGAGACTCATTTCAGAACTAAAGACACCTGCAGATTGGAAGTACAGGGATGGAGAAACATTTATCATACAGATGGACGTCAAAAGAAAGCTGGGGTAGCAATACTTGTATCAGAGAAAAAGAGACTTTAAAATAAAGACTGTAACCAACAAGATATAAAAATTGTGTATTATTTATACACCCAACATGGGAGCACCCTCATACATAAAACAGTTAATAGCAAGCATAAAGGAATTAATCAATTGTAATACAAGAATAGTAGAGGGCTTTAACACTTACACCGATAGACAAATCATCCAACCAAAAAAATCAACAAGGAAACAGTGTTCTGAATGACCCACTGGATTAGATGGATCTAACATATATTCAGAAAAGTTCACCCTAAAATAGCAGATTACACATTCTTTTCAAGTGCACATGGAAGATTTTCTAAAACAGATCACATATTAGGCGATAAAACAAATCTCAACAAATTAAAAAAGATCGAAGTCATACCATGCGTCTTTTCTGACCAAAATGCTATGGAACTAGAAAACAACCATAAGAAAAAAATCTGGAAAGAGCACAAATAAATGGAGGTTAGATAACATGCTACTAAACAATGAATAGGTCAATCAAGAAATCAAAGAAGAAATTAAAAAATTACCTGGAACCAAATGACAATGAAAATACAATGGTCCAAAATCTTTGGGCTGTAGCAAAAGCAGTCCTAAGAGAGACATTTACAGTAATACAGGCCTACTTCAAGAAACAAGAAAAATCTCAAATAAACAACCGAACTTTACACTTAAAAGATCTAGAAGAACAACAAAACTCAAAACCAGCAGAAGGAAGGAATAAAGATTAAAGCAGAAATGAATATATATAGAAATTTAAAAAACTCAATAGAACAGACCAATAAAACCAGAAGGTGGTTCTTTGAGAATATCAATAAAATTGATAAACCTCTAGCTAGACGCATCAAAAAAGAGAGGACTCATATAAACAAAATCACTAATGAAAGAACAGAAGTAACAACCAACACCAGAGAAATACAAACAATTTTAAGAGATATTATGGAAAATTATATGCCAAAACTGGACCTAGAAGTAATGCTTAATTCCTGGAAACACATAACCTACCAAAACTGAAGCAGGGAGAAACAGAAAATTTAAACAGACCAAGATTACCAGCAAAGAAACTGAATCAAGAATAATAATAAAACAAAACAACTCTCAACAAACAAAAGTCCAGGACCAAATAGCTTCACAGGGGAATTCTACCAAACATTTGAAAAGTTAGTAACTTTCTTTTCAAACTATTCAAAAAAATACAAGAAGGAAAACTCCCCAAATTTGTACTATTTGAAACCTCCAAATTCATTCATTCTATTCATTCCCAATACCAAAACCAGATAAAGACACACAAAAAAAGAGAACTATAGGCCAGTATCTTTCATAAATATAGATGCAACAATCCATCAACAAAATACTAGCGAAACCATTTTCAACAATACATTAAAAAAAATCATTCATCACAATTGAGTGAGATTCATTCTTGGGATGCAAGGGTGGTTCAATATTCACAAATCAATGTGATACAGCACATCAATAAGAAAAAGGATAAATACCATCTGATCATTTCAACAGATGCAGAAAAAGCATCTGATAAGTACAACATCCATTCATGATAAAAACCCTCAACAAAGTAGGTTGAGAGGGAACATATCTCAATATCACTAAGGCCATAAAGTAAAAACCCACAGTAAACAATATATTCAATGGGGGGAAAATGAGAGCCTTTCCCCTAAGGTCAGGAGCAAGACAAGGATATCCACTCTCACCACTGTTATTCAACACAGCACTGAAAGTCCTAACCACCAGCAATCAGACAACAAAAAGAAATAAAAGGCATCCAAATTGGTAAGGAAGAAGTTAAAACTCTCTACGTTGTTTGCAGATGACATGATACCATCTATAGGAAACCCTAAAGACTCCACCAAAAAACTACTAGAACTGATGAATGAACTCATTAAAGTCTCAGAATACAGGATACAAAATCAATATATGGAAATCTGTTTTACCTCTATACACTAATAATGAAGCAGCAAAAAGAGAAATTAAGGAAACAATCCCATTTACAACTGTACCAAAAATAA